GGTATGATTGAGCATTCCTTGGGTATATGCCCAAGAGTGGTATAGCTGGATCTTGGGGGAGATTGATTCCCAATTTTCTAAGAAAGCGCCATATTGATTTCCAAAGTGATTGTGCAAGCTTGCATTTCCACCAGCAGTGGAGGAGAGTTCCCCTAGCTCCACATCCTCTCCAGCATAAGGTGTCTTCAGTGTTTTTGATTTTAACCATTCTGACAGGCATAAGGTGGTATCTCAGAGTTGTTTTGATTTGTATTTCCCTGATAATTAGGGATGTTGAGCAATTCCTTAAATGTCTATGTATGCCTGCACAGAAATTAAAAAAGCTTTCTAAGTCAGAATTTATATCAAGTTATATCATCTCCCAAATTAATAAAATGTTATATCATTCAGATGTTCCAAATACGTTGGTTGATTAGGCTAGATATTAACACCATGAAAAAGTCCAAATTGTAAATTCAACTCATATTCTTGCTAGCAAAAACCAAAACAAAATCAAACAAACAAACCAAACCAAACAAAAACTAGATGGGACAGAGGTAAAGCTTGTCTGGGACCGAGGAGCTTTGCCGGTGTGAAAGAGCCTACTGAGGTAGATGAACTGACAGAACCCATATAAACTTGGAAGTGGTGGCATCTAAGGATTCCTCCATTCTGTGAGACCCAAGGATGCAACTAACCTACTGTCCTACTGGAAAGTTGTATGAATAATGAAAGACTTGACAGAATTTTTAAAGATAAAAGAGTAGAGACGAATAGCCTGCTTTTGCATCCTGGGATTCTGAAGGAAGAGATCTGGTCTGTGAGCCATGAAGAACTGAGACCCTAAAAGGCAGTAGAGAGCCAGAATATACTAGAGAGAGACTAGAAACTGATATTCACAAAAGAAACAACAGAGTCCAGCTTAGAGCATTAAACAAAGTGATGGGAAGCTACTCTCTTAGGTCATACAATAAAAGGAAGGTCCACCAAACAAAGCTTTAGATGTAGAAATGTACACTGTGGTGCAGCAGAGGCTGGGGTTGGACATGACACTTGCCTTGCCTCTCCAACTCTCAGGCTAAGGCAAAAGACAGACAGATTTTCAGAAAAACACAGCAATGAAACTGCTCTGGAGCAGACAGGATATTAGCACTATAATATCTCCAAACATGAAGCCCTTCTCCATGGACTTAGTAAACAATGGCCCTGAGAACCACATACACACATAGGATAGGATCTGACCCAGACACAAGCTCATAGACACAAATATATCTTTACAAAGGCTGCAAAGCACCAGCAGGAAAAAAAAAAAGAGCTGAGTTCTAGTAAGACAAGAATACCTAACCTCTAATATAAGTAGTAACAGGCTGTGGCCTTTTTCAGAGCCTCAGACATTGTAGACCAGGAAAGCCTGACTATGTTGCACATGGATGATATTAGCTGGTATGGTGGACAGTGTGCTAGGAGAACCCCTCACTAAATGAACAGCTTAAGATAGTTTTCAACTTAGCAAATTCCACTTAGCAAAACCACAGAAGACAGACTGCACACAGCTCTCCCTGGTCTAACCTGTTTGAACTTTAAACACTCAGCTGTTCTCTTGCCTTCTGAGTTGACTGCAAGCAAGTTCAGGGTATGGGGAATCCCATTCTCCCAGTAAGGAAGAAA